GTTGATGGTGGTAGTTTATGATGCCAATAAATTACTACATCAGCACTAACATGGCAATAAATATCAGCATATTAATGGGCACGTGAATCTTCCGTTCATTGTGGGTGTTCCCATTTATATTGAAAAGGTGAGAAGCTAAAACTTTTTTTTTTATTTTTTGACAGTAAAAGATTGAGAAGTTAGTGTTGATATCTGTAATTAAAAGAATTCGAAACTTAGATTAAGGTGCACTTCACCTGTTACTGGGCAGCGTGGCCACCGGGCCACATGGGGGAGTGCAGCTAAAACTTTTCATACTGTAAGTTGAGGTGTTGACAGTTTCACAATAAGTAAAGTGGAGGTCTGGCCATGGATTTTCGCCCAATTATGAATGAGCATGAACAGTCATCGTAAAGAAATGTTTTATGATTTAAAACAGTAAACAGTGCTATTTACTTTTATTTTTTATAACTTATCCTGATTTTATTTCAGCCATTGAATCAAAATCGTATCCTATTTGTTCCTGCTTCCTCATTTCACTCACACAGCTTTTTGGCTTCTCTCCGTCCTCTCTTGTACATGTTTCTTTCCTCTTTTTTTTTTTTTTCAAATGATCTAAGAAGAACTCGGCACTTATAACTTACAAAGTTATAGGTCTCACCGTCTCACCTTGGGAACTCATTCTTGATGGGGCGGCGCAACGCTGCCATCACTATCTTCTTGTCCCATCGTTCTCTTCTGTCTCTCTGTGTATTTGGGTCAAACCCAAAACTAAAATTGAAAAACCAAAATAGATCGGTCACTGAACCAATACAACCAAAATTAATCTGGTTTGGTGAATGATTGTACGTTTTCTCCATAAAAAATTCGGTTAACCGCTATTGTTGGTCTGTTCGATCACCGAATCGACTGTGCCCACTTCTAAAAAAAAAACTTTCGAAAGATGCATTCGGAATGTTTAATTAATTTTAAACTTGCTGAGACTGCGTAAGGCAGTTGGTAGTAGCACCAAACGCTTTAGCACTAGTCCGAGTTCGAGCTGTCTTCTTAAAATTCTCTATTTCATACCTCAAAATTGTAGCGGTTCAAAAAATTAATTTAAAATTTGTCGAATGGCTCCATAATTAATAAATTTTTTTTAAAAAAATTTTGATTTAAAAAGCATAATTAATGTATTTTTTAT